ACATAAGGATAACCACGCGTTTGTTTCATTCTTTTCCATTCATTGCCACAAGCTGAGCTTGCCCCTAGATGCAGCTGATTTCTTGTAGCTTGGTCGTAACAGTTCTTCTTCTGGTGGTACGGTGGTACGAGGTCAACCTGGTTTTCTCTTTCCAGTAGAGAAATATTCTGAACATGTTAAAATTTCTCTCTATATATATGGAAATTACAGTTTGTAGAATATTGGGTAATATTTTAAACTCTGAATTTAAGGAAATATTGATATAAGCGGTGGTTGTATTTAACATTAACATTGCTTTTGAGTTCACTTACCAGACCAGAAAAATGGACATATAAACCCATCTCAACGGTGTATATTCGAAATCATCAGTACAGTCTCGATGTCATGTTTACAACAATCTTTTTCTCACCGTTGTATGAGAACAATATGTACAATGTTTTAATGTTGATAGACATATTTGATGAACATCCGTTACATGTCAGATCGACCTTTCCTTTCTGTATCATATGCTTAATGAAATATATGTAAATGGACATGAATTTGTTAGTTGAAATAACGGAAATCATTTCCCTTGTCAGTCATTCTCTGTAAAAGAGAAGAAAGAAATCATGTAATAAATATGACTTTTTCAGTGAAAAAGATCGATGAAACATTATGTACCCCTATTTGTGACATTTTTACCTATTATGTCTGTTTGTTTTGTTCACACAATGTTGCCAATATAAGGGAGTTTTATGCGACTGTCATACAAGTGAGAGGTTTAGCTAGCTATAAAACAAGGTTTAATCCACCATTTTCTACATAAAGAAATGCCTGTACCAAGCCAGGAATGTGACAGTTGTTTTCCATTCGTGTGATGTGTTTAAGTTTTTGATTTTGCAATTTGATAAGGGACTTTCCGATTTGAATTTTCCTTGGAGTTTGGTATTTTTGTTATTTTACTTTTAACTAAGTTATCGAAATAAGCAAAATCCGCTGCAATATACATCTAAATACTGTAAACATGATATTCAATTTACCAATCCATGTTATATTAATTGTAAAAACTGCATTGCTATATTCGTATGGGAGCCAGTCTTAATCGCCAACTTTTTTATCAGGGGCATTTCAATGTTACACTTTGTAAGATTAACTCCCCTGTTGTTTTAATTACATTTGATCGTCGTTTTTTAATAAATGGCATTTTGGTTGGCATCTTTCTCCTTAATAGTTTGCCTTCAAACAACAGAGCAAGGTGTGTACTGACATAACTACTCATGGACTAAGGGGATATGTAATCATATGGTGGTATTCTGTTTGTTTTTTTCTGTGATTCTCATCTTAGATATACATTTACAACACTGGGCAAGTCAGACATAATTATGTGTCTGTCAGCGAGATTTGACTCCATAGGTTTTTTAAAGTCTTTTGCAAAACCCAAATGACCATCGAACCAAAAAAAAAACAAGCTACAACGAAACCATTGAGGTATTTCTAAAATAAAGACGACATAAAAATATAAAAGTAATTCTAATTTGTACATAGATAAATATTATCTCTACATGTAGATATTTATTCTATTGACTTCCTGTTTGTTCTTTGGTATTTCATATTTCTTTAAAATTCAACCAGAAGAGTAAACTAATTGTTTCTTGTATTGTGAAGACCCTATTACCCCTTGTCTTTTTCCCCTGGGATATTTCAACAGAATATAATTGAAAAAAAAACGCATAGGAATCCTTTAATACGGGAATAAATTATAGTTGACATTTAAATCCGTCCATAAAGTATCAGTATCACATATTTTAATATTTACAGTCTATTACACTTCATTAACACCATAAATAACAATAAAAATAAAAAAGCTTCAAGATTTTAACTATTTATCAAAAATCGTTTTGAACTGGAATCCCTTTGCCTATCTTAAAATTTAGCTTAATGTTTCATTGAAAAGTAAATTGATTATAAAATAGGATTTAATGTTGTGTTCTAGAGTTATTGTTTCCCACAACGCAAACTGATCAATGTAAATCAGACACCATTCAAACAAAAAAGACATAAAACATTCAACACTCAACCATTGTCTTTAATCAATTGTACAACTCATTCAGATGAATGATAATAGTTGTATCGGTATAAACATAATTGATATAAAGTTGGTATATTCATAAAATATGGAAATTTGTTATTAAAACTTGTGAATAGGGTATCAAAAATCTGTACATAAAATATGATATATAAAACGATAAGCAACTACTTGGTGATTTATAATTTATGACAAACTTTGTATAATTTCCAAATGCATTCTCATATTCAATTGCTAATGATGCTTAATTGTTTTTATCATATTTTGAAATTAAAATTCACCAATAATTTTTATTAAAATGAGTAATTCTATAGATATATTCAAGCAGTTACGGTGCATTGCGTGATGCAAGTGTAGAATGTATCAAATGACATTAACAAATATGCGTTTGTGTATGAATAGGTTAAACGCTTATATTGTATTGAGAGCACTCGATGAAATAGTGAAATATCGCAAGCCATGATCAATCAAAACAACAGTTAATATCATATCATATATGAAGAAACAAACAACATGTTTTTTTCTGATAATCAAATATCCGAGTTTTAGATGAGTATCTTTCAATGTTATTTAATGTATACTTTTTAAAGGGTAGCATCACTCATACATCACGTTTTGTTTACATCAATCATCCATTGGAACTAACCTGTATCGTGAATTGCCATTTAGGATTTATTTAGATATATTTTCTGTACTTCTATAATCAATACATATTTATAGCAACATTGTTACTAAGATTAATAACAGAAACACACAATGTCCCGCTATGCCTACGATGAATTATCGCCAAAAGTCAAAGAAAGCTAGAAAGTAACATTTTCTGTTACATCAAGCAATATTAATTACCCAAAAGACAATTGATAGATATGTATTTTTCATCTCTATGTTATATCAGATAGGCAGATCAAAACTCAGTTGACAATACTAATCAATATTTAAATTACAAAACATGGTGTTTCACAAAGCTGTCTTAGGACTAAAACATGTCTTAGGATGGTCTTACGGCATATCTTAGTCCTAAGTGGGTTCCACAAATTGGTCCTAACTTAGGACATCTTTCAAACTTGGTCATAAGGTTAGTACTACACGAGAGGTGTCTTATGATGGTCTTGGAATAGCCATCAGTTAAAAAACAAATATAAATTACACTTATTTTTATATTAATTTTGCAAATTCTAATCTCCTTTTTCTGCTCATAACTAAATCTTTATAGGTTGACGGATTATGAAACTGATTTATCAACAATTAACGTTCGATTTATTTATAGCAATAATGCACGATTTTATCCTTTAACTTTATTATAACCGAAACAGTGACAAATTGAATTCAACTCACTTGTACAAAAAAAAAATGTCATTATTTGATTTTATTTTTTTCAATTTTGTATTGAATTTATATATTGGTGTATTATTAATAGATTATTTATATAAATTACAGTTACTTTTTATATTAATTTTGCAAAATATTTAATTATGGAATATTACTCAATACGTTTTAGTAATTTATGGGAAACACATACTATATTTACATGAATTTTTCCATACATATTATATTAATTTTGCAAATTATCTAAATATTGAATATTAATCAATACGGTCCAGTAATTTATGGTAAACACATACTATCTTTACATGAATTTTTCCATAAATCCATGTTAATATTTAAAAATTTAAAGAACTTGCGACAGGTTTAGGATATTTTTGCTATGATCATCCTAAGACACCTTCAAGGCGAGGTCTGAGATATGTCTTAAGATAGTCTTAAGAGGATCATAAGACATGTCCTAAGATACATCTTATGACAGGTCTTAGAATAGGTTCGTTAAAATGGCCCCTGGTGTCCACAATTAAAATTTTGATTTTCAATACAATTCCCTTGAACCAGTTCAATATATATCCTGTTTTTTTCTAACGTAGGTTCTTCTTTCAAATATTAGTATATATCATTACTCTACATTTTTTTTATATATTTTGAGAACATAATAGGCTTGTTCATAAGGTAGTTGATTGTAGATTATTCTTCTATTTTAAGAATTATCATGGTCTTCAATCAACTTTAAACAGATTATTTTATACTCCTTCTTATATATTAAAAGTAAACTTTGAAGTCGTATCGTCTTGCTAATTGATTTTCTTTTTTGTATATGCATCTTTATGACCATGACCTATGGTGTTTGACCCAAAACTGTTATGTTTATATTTCAAAGTATAATTATATTTCCTTGTTTTATCCTTAAAAATCATCTTACCAAAGATAAAAGTGAACGTATTGTTCTTTTCCTTTTTTGACGTTGACAGAACCGAGCCATATTCAAAACTATCGTATAGTGTAACACTACTTTTGGACGATATACTAACATAACTATAGTGCATTATCTGAATAACGATTTCGGAGTAGCGTGACAGGAAGAACATACGAGTTGTATTCTTTTAAACATTGGCATCTATTCCATGACAACTGAATTATTAACAGTATGTATGTGGGTAAACAATGAATTTTTCAAGTCACACATATAGGAAAAATATTAAGGTAGATATTTTACACTACAAACTAATATTAAATTTAGAAAAAAAAACGACCGGATTACATAAATAATATATCACACACAAGCCGAAAAAAGATAGATAAACACTATGAAAAACAAAAACGAAACACGTATTAACAACATAGATATAAGAAGATGTGGTATGAGTGCCAATGAGACAACTCTCCATCCATGTCACAATTTGTAAAAGTAAACCATTATAGGTCAAAGTACGGCCTTCAACAGTCCACATACACTGCACATAAATCCAGATTAAGCAATATATCCTGCACAAAAACAGAGGTGCCCTAAACATATTAATTTGCTCATGTTCAACAAGTTGACGTTTTAGTTAAAACACTTATTATCATGATTATCTACTGTTATTTTGCAAATTCTTTTTCTTTGTAGATTGAAGAAGTAAAATAACAGACGGGAAAAAGAACAATATAATGGTGTCAAATGTACAATTGCGTTATGTTGCTTCAGCAGTAATATACTTAATACTTTTATGCAACGAACTTGTTTGTCAAGAAAGCACTGAACTGTCAAAAGATGATGAATTATTACAATACAAAAGAAAAATGGATATGTATCGATTCCATGGAGCATTAGGTAAACGACAGAATGAACAACCGATTCCTGAAGATCAGTTTGAAAAAAGAAAAATAGACTACGCCAGGTTTTTAGGTTCTCTAGGAAAGCGCGCAACTTTTGACGATAGCTATCCAGAAGTAGAACGAAGATCTAAATATGATAGATTTATGTTCTCACCAAGCTTAGGTAAACGATATGTAGATCCACAAGAATCCATTGAAGCAGATAAACGACGTCTTGACCGCTTCTCGTACTTTGGCAATCTTGGGAAAAGAGGAATGGATAAGCTGTCATATTTTGGAAGTCTAGGGAAACGTGGCCTTGACAGACTATCTTTCTTTGGAGGGCTTGGGAAAAGAAGGCTTGATAGACTGTCATACTTTGGAGGGCTTGGTAAAAGAAGTGGAGATACGGATGAAAGGTATAATAATATTGACAGTGCTGACAATTACAATTTGTATGATGTAAATGATATTTTGCCTGCGCGCGAAACTAGATCATGGTACTGGACAAATAGAGGTACAAAGCGGTTACCAGTTTCAATCAGGGGCATTGATAAATATTCACTGTTCGGTTCACTTGGTAAAAGAAGCATAGATCAAGAACGACTTCAAGAAATTTTAGGAAAAAGATTATTATCTAGTGTGTAAGTCAAGGACACCGCATGTAACCCTTACTTTACCCTTTCCTCTCATTTAACCTTGCATGTTTCTTTACTGAGCTGTACGTTTCCATTTTATTGTTAATTTAGCGCTTGATATAAACGCTAATATATGGCCACAAGCATGTTTTATTAAACTATAATTGAATGATTACCTTGAAATCTAATTGCATATACCTTTATATATCTAATTAAACACATAATTTCAATCTTTGATTATATATGCATTAATACCTGCTATCCTGTGGTTATCCAGAGTAAAAATAAATCTTTGAATGCATTGTTTTTACAACTACGCTTAAATATCGGCCAAATAAAAAGAATAACTTGCTTTTGCATGCTTTTGCATATAAATACAAAGAGATGTAATCTGATTAAAATACATATACTGAGTCAATGCTTTGCTTAAAAGCGAACTGAGTACACGGGATCATTCATAACGCTGAAATCTTTCTGTTGAAGATATTTTTGAGAAAAATAAAATACGTTCTGTTTTAAGTGTAAGGGGTGGGGCTAACTTTCACTGTAGTACACTACAATTACAGTTTTGATAGACTTTTATAGTCGCTATTCTGTGCACTTGACTTGTGTTTTACCATCTGTGTAAATATTTAGACTTAATATTGACAATGATTGATGTAGGAAACTTTCAGTTCAAATATTTAATAAAATCTAACTCCCAATATGAAATCATGCAATTTCCAATGTACGACAACTTTTACATCAAACTAGTTAAATAGCAAATGGTGGTCATGTAAGAAAGATTTTAATATATATTTGTGACAAACATTATGTGGAGCGTACATATAAGTAAATCATTTGGTATTATATCTCCATTAGTGAAAAAAATATTTCCAAAGATAAAACATCAAAATTGGGAATAAGACAATTTTCCCAATTAAATCAGACGAGTACAAACATACCATATACTAAGCTAAATATGAATAGTTTCGGAAATATGTAAATCATACAAATTTTATGTGTATAAAATGAGGAGGTGTGGTAAACAATTAACCAACAAAGGACGAGGGTTTAAACAACTACATGCATAGGTCACCGTACGCATACGGCCTTCAACTATGAGCAAATCCCTATAGTAAGCTATAAAAGGCCGCAGCATGACAAACAGGGAAAAAATGAAAGAAACAACTAACGACCTGATTTATACTATAAGCAATAAGCGAACAACAATTATAGAAGACAGCAACTAGACATTGGATTACAGGCTCCTAAATTAGTCTAAAGCATAGATTAGTGTACACAGGAACAACAAAAGTTGAGGTTATAAAAACATATGGAGATTAAAATAATAGAATCTAAGCATTTCTATTGTAAACTGTAAATAAAGGCAACAGTAGTATATCGGTGTTCAAAAGACATAAATCGATTGAGAGAAAACAACTGCTATATTCCTGACTTGGTACAGGACATGTTAAGAAAAAATGGTGGGTTGAACCTTGTTTTATGGCTAGCAAAACCTCCCGCTCACATGGCAATGTTTAAAAATATATCGCTAAAATGACAACACTACGTGGACAGAAATACAGCACAAACACTCATCACAGAGAAACGCACAAACAAATAATATAGTCGACATACCATGCAAACCGCAGAACAACAGCGAACATCTTCTATCAACGACAGACACTACAGGACATCACAAACAGTGACGCACTTACGTACAAACATGCAATCTCGAACATTATACAATTATTTTCGCAAAACCAGTTCAAACAATTTTCATGACAATGATGGAATTGAAAGGCTATTTTATAATCATTTGGACTACAAACGATAAGACATAACACATTATCTAACCGAAACCATAACAGAAACATAAAAAATAAATACATGAATGTTGGATGTACAAAATACCGAGACACGTCGAATAGCAATGCAAATTCACACTAACAGTAACTTGTTATTTTGCAGTTGCAGAAATGTTCTTATTACTTCGTAAGCTTCAAGCACTATCGTAAAAACTCCATGCGTCCAATACCTTATTACAATCTATTTCCTCATTCTGGATACATCTCCTCAGCAGCACATACCAGTATAAAATATATATGTCACTATCCTTCTTCTAATCTGTTTTCTTCTTTTTTAATATTATATGTTTATTCCTTTTTTACTAGATATGCTGCAATAGTAATTTATTCCTCTTCAAATATGAAATTTAAGTTTTAATCATGTTAATTATATCCGATATCATTTCATATTTTTTTTTATGTTATTCGGCTCATCATTTAACAGTGTTCAAAATGCATATATATATAAGTTTAAGAGTATTGGTCTATGTTTGGATATCGACATTAAACAAAATGATTCTTCTGTTTTTCAGGGAGTCGTAATTCTTATCAAGATGGACATGTCCACTAGACAGATAGCAGAAGTATGGTACACTCATGGTTATAAATTGTACATGTTATCATTATTCATAATTATGTATAGTGGTCTTCATTTTAAATTTGCAAAATAACATCAGGAGACACAAACATTAGATATATTTTTCATAAACTTTGTTCTTCAATAAAATAAATACATTTCTTTATATACATGTGTGTCAATATTAATCCTAAACAGGTCTGTATTTTTGGAATATGATGAAATGAAACTGTACTAACTTTTAATATGCATTTTAGAATAATAATAAAAATAAGATATTTCGGAATCAGACATTTATGCGAGCTTGACATTATCACATGACGAATTGAATAATAAACATATCATCTTCAAAAATAGAGCATGTATATTCCTGTTGGTTTGTGACTGAATAAAGGTTGAACTAAAACAGAAAAATATGTTTGTATTTAAATATTTCAACAAACAGACAGGAAAGATAAAAAAGTTGTCCTCAATTGTTCATGAATCAATATTATTTTTTTGATAGTCAAAATTTCGACTTTGGGATTAGAAATATTTAGAATCGACATTAAGTTTTTGATTTTTTTAATAGAAAAATAAAACTAAATTTGGACGACCAGTATATGTTTAAAGAATTTATTTCAATTAATGTCAATATAAACGAATATAAATAAAATGAGATACATGTACAAAAACAAAATTATTTTAATTCAAATCCTTGATAAAAAAATCGACAGAGCACATTTAAGTCGTTTTCGTCATAGAACTCCGTCGACCTTTTATGTATTGCTTATGGTTAAATTTAAAATGTTGAATGCATCGACAGCAGATTGTGCGTTATCTCAAATAAAATTGAGAATGGAAATGGGAAATGTGTCAAAGAGACAACAACCCGACCAAAGAGCAAAAACATCCCAAGGCCATCACTGGGTTTTCAATGCAGAGAGACAATCCCGCACTTAACTCCGAAACATAAAAATGAGCAAAAATTAAAAAAAAAAAAAACAACATACAAGACTAACAAAGGCTAGAGGTTCCTGACTTTGGACAGGCGCAAAAATGCGGTACCCTATAATGTATTTACAATTGTTAACATAATGTATCATATTTCTATCAAGATTATAATAGTATAGATATAAGAAGATGTGGTATGAGTGCCAATGAGACAACTCTCCATCCAAGTCAAAATTAAACCATTATAGGTCACAGTACGGTCTTCAACACGGAGCTTTGTCTCACACCGAACAGTAAGCTATAAAGGGCCCCAAAAAAATACTAGTGTAAAACCAATCAAACGGGAAAACCAACGGTCTAATCTATATAAAAAACGAGAAACGAGAAACGAGAAACACTTATGAACCACATCAACAAACGACAACTACTGAACATCAGATTCCTGACTTAGGACAGGTGCAAACAAATGCAGCGGGTTTAAACGTTTTAATGGTACCAAACCTTCACCCTTTTTCTGAAACAATAGTGTAACATCACAACATAGAAAGACACACTATAAAATATCAACTGAAATAGCTTAACTCAATCAAAAGACATATTAACACCATTGAACATACACTGAACAAATAAATTTGACCTATGACACAATGTAAATACAAAAATAAAAAAAAAATAGGTTCACTTATAAGAGAGGCGAAAGATACCAAAGGGATATTCAAACTGACAGCATCGTGGCTACAAAAGAAAAAAAGACCAACTGACAAATAACAGTACACAAAACAAAACATAGAAAACTAAAGACTGAGCAACACGAGCCCCACCAAAAACCTTGGGGTGATCTCAGGTGCTCCGGGAGGGTAGACAGATCCTGCTCCACATGTTAGATCAGTTCGATATTTTGCTATGATGCTCCATCATAAGAATTTAGGTTAAGGTAATTGTAAAATGTTCAAGTGTTTTAAGATCAGTAATTCAAATATGAACAAAAGGAGATGATGGTATATATGTGTCAATGAGACAGTAACATGAAGACCTTAAAACATTTTAAAAACTAAAAGACAAATCAAAATAATATTAGCAGGCAGTTAATACGATATGCCAAGCTCTAAAGTGCGTTGAAATGTTATAAACAGATTTATTACATTTAACATAGACTATCAAAGATCTGCCATACATACCGGATCATACCGAATCCCTCTCAGAAAATAAAGCATTGATATAACACAAAACACAACAAAGCAAGTTCCTGACTAAGAATAGGCATACAATCATGTGATGGGACTAATCTATTCGACCATTGGACTAATTCAAGATATATAAAAGAACATATAATTACAATTATATCACTAAACTCACTTTACCCTTACATAGCGGTATGAAAAATAACAAAAATAAAATAGTAAACGAAACAATAATAAACATTACAGTACCGAGAATGCCCGCAGTTACTTACTAGTAATGAAGGAAATAAAGTGGACCTTAGATGAGTTTGTCTATTCTTTTTAGGTTCCTTCTGGTCATACAACTTCTTACGTTTCTACGTATTTATACATCCAATGCTTTCAAACGTTTAGGTTGAGCGTTTCTAATGGGGATAAGTCCAGAAAACTGCTTCGGACGCACGAAATTTACCAGTAAATATTGTTTCCTTCATTCATGTATAGTAAGAGTATTCAATATGTCGCTATGGCCAGAACAAACCTGTACATATTTCCAATGACGAAAAGCCCGAAATAATTTATCATTTCTGTTATATTTTTATTATTGATGTTAAATCTTTGCTAGTATGATAGATTGTTCGGTGTTCTATTTTTGTTAATATGATTAACGCCCACAAGGTTAGTTCGAGACCTTTCTAGATTGAGGTCCACAAGGTGTGCTCGAGACTTTTCTAGATTAACATCCATGACCTTTCTAGATTAACGTCCACAAGGTATGCTCGAGACCTTTCTAGATAAACGTCCACAAGGTATGCTCAAGACCTTTCTAGATTAACGCCCAAAAAAGTATGCTCGAGACCTTCCTAGATTAATGTCCACAAAGTATGTTCGAGATCTTTCTAGCACAAGGTATGCTTGAGACATTGCTAGATTAACCTTCACAAGCTTAATGTATAATCGAGACCTTTCTAAATTAACGCCCACAAGGTATGCCCGAGACCTTTCTAGATTAACGTCCACAAGGTATGCTCGAGACCTTGCTAGATTAACTTTCACAAGCTTGATGTATGATCGAGACTTTCTAGATTAAAACCCACATAATATGCTTTAGACCTTTCTCGATAAACGCCCACAAGGTATGCTCGAGTCCTTTCTAGAATAACGTCCACAAGGTATGCTCGAGACCTTAATAGATAAACGTTCAAAATGTATGCTCGAGATCTTTCTAGATAAACGTACACAAAGTATGCTCAAGACCTTTCTAGATTAACATCCACAAGGTATGCTTGAGACCTTGCTAGATTAACTTTCACAAGCTTAATGTATGATGGAGACCTTTCTAGATTAACGCCCACAAGGTATGCTCGAGACCTTTCTATATTAACGTCCACCAGGTATGCTCGAGACCTTTCTAGACTAACTTCCACTAGCTTAAGGTATGCTCGATACTTTTCTAGATTAACGTCCACAGGGTATTCTCGAGACTTTTCTAGATAAGTGCCATTAGGTATGCCCGGGACCAAAAGAGTCGGCTCTAAACGGTAAAAAGTTAATTTTGATTTTGCTATTTGATAAGAGACCTACCGTTTTGAATTTTCCTTGGAGTTCGGTATTTTTGTTATTTTACTTTTTACGTCGTTTATTTTTGTTTGTAATCAGTGTAAAACTATTTTTATATTTTGGTTTGATCTGTTTTATTTACTGTAAATCTTGTTTTCCCTTTTAATGTTTTATTTAAAAGTGATACGTAATATGGTAATTATAAGGTTGCTACACTATATCAATTTATACTCTATCCCTAGCATGCTTTACTACAAGTAATCAGTATGAAAACAGATTTAGTTGTATCGTTAGGGTCAGATCATTTAACAGCAAAGGGGATCATACTTTTTATTGTATTATTAAATATTTATCTTTGACCTGTAGTTAACACCTTTTACAAAGCCATATTAGATATATGTATAATTAAACTCAAATCTCAAGAATAAATAATTACAAGATAAGTTTTTATGTATCAGAATCGTATAAATTAGCCATCCTTGATACACGCACTATGTCATTGTAATTATAACTCACGCTACAAAGAAGCGGGAGAGGGTATATAGTTTTTGATCCGTGTTTCAGTCAGTCCGTCATTCATTTTTGTTTGCGGGTGCTCACTCAAATAATGTATATCCGATTGCTACCATGCTTGGCAATTTGATCACATATAATAAGAGGAAGGTCAATAAAATTGAGAATGGAAATGGGGAATATGTCAAAGAGACAACAACCCGACCAAAGAGCAGACAACAGCCGAAGGCCATCAATGGGTCTTCAACGCAGCGAGAAAATCCCGCACCCGGAGGTGGTCCTCAGCTGGCCCCTAAATTAAATTGTGTACTAGTTCAGTGAAAATGGACGTCACACTAAACTCCAAAATATATATAACTAAAATTAAAAGACATACAAGACTAACAAAGGCCAGAGGCTACTGACTTAAGACAGGCGCAAAAATGCGGCGGGGTTAAACATGTTTTATGAGATCTCAACCCTCCCCCTATACCTCTAGCCAATGTAGAATAAAGAAACACATAGCAATACGCACAGTAAAACTCAGTTCAAAAGAAGTCCGAGTCCGATGTCAGAATAGGTAACAAAAGAAACTAAGCAAAATGAAAATGATACATAAATGAACAAAGGACTACTAGCAGTTACTGACATGCCAGCTCCAGACCTCAATTAAACTGATTGAAAGATTATGTCTTCATCATATGAAAATCAAGTACAATCCCTCCCGTTAGGGGTTTAGTATCATACCATCATAAAATATATGAGAAGAACATAACCCGTATCATGCCAACAACTGGTTTTAGAATAAATGTGTTTATTTCCGATGCAAAGACCCTATGAGTGAATCAATATTAATACCAAAATATTCAATCCTTAATGTCTTGACAACAGTATCGTAACTATATCCTTTCCGAATAAGTCTGTTTAAAGGTTTGGTTAGCTTTTGAAGTGAATGCCGACATTTTTTTGCTTTGTAAAGAATATTACCATAAAATATTGGATGTAAAATACCTGAACGCATAAGA